AATAAAAATTTTAATGTGCCTCAAACAGGGGATAAGTAACATGCTTCAACACCTAAATCTTATTTTATTATACATGAATTAATTCGAAAAATTAAAGATGGAAGTAGTGTTCATGAATTTCTTTTCATTACTAATGAATCAGCTCTTATGTATTTTGTTTTCGAATGGAGAACATGTAGAAGTGAACAGTAAGAACTTCATCTTATTATGCCATCATCTTCTAATTGGAATCATAATTTCTTGCACATAAATTTATTTTTCTAAAGAATGGGTTCAAACAAACCCTTAATATCACACTGACCAACTGTTTCAATACCTTATGCTACAGAACCGATTTCACAAGTGAAACTAAACTGCAAACTTAGATCGAATTATAGAAACTAAATAAAAATTAATGAAATTCTCAAACTTGACCACTAACGAGGGTTATAGACGGCAGCGCATTCCAAAGAGTAGGCAACTTGTTATCTTCTCCATTATTTCGAGTACAGTGCAAGTTCTCCGCGTTTACCAAAAATATCAAACTTTCCATTACGATTCCTCACGACAACAACATTCCGGTAACACTAGAAACTGAAGCACCTCCCACCATGTACTCACTATTAAAAAATGAATTTACATTACAATTACATAGGAATGATTGCTATTCAATCGATAGCTTAAACCTTCGATTAAAGTAAGATAGCCAAATAATAATAAACCAATAATCATCACTATGCTAATGGTGAGAGAAAAAAATAGAAAAGGGGAAGAGAAAGGAGAACTTTAGGGTTGTGTGAAGGAAGCAGAGTGAAGAGGCAATGGAAGAGAGAGAAAATGTTAGAGATGAGAAATGGGTGCGTGAATAAGAGAGAAGAAATGGTTGCGTGAATGAGATATTTTTTATAAAATCAGCCCGTAGTTTGACCATTATGCCCTCGAGAATTAGTAATGTAGTATTGAAGGGTAAAATGGGAAAGAGAATAATATCATCAATGAACAGTGGACATTTTGTCTCACATGAAACAGTGATGTGTGAGAGGAAACTCATGAATGAATAGTAAAGGTAGGATCCTCTCTTAAAAAGAGAGTAGAGATTTATGTAATCATGTATTGTTGAAGGAACTGACAGATCTAATGATTGGTTCTCTGATGTTCAATGACTTGTTTATTATATAGAGAGGAGTGAAGACAACCTGAATTTTGGNAATAAAAATTTTAATGTGCCTCAAACAGGGGCTAAGCAACATGCTTCAACACCTAAATCTTATTTTATTATACATGAATTAATTCGAAAAATTAAAGATGGAAGTAGTGTCCATGAATTTCTTTTCATTACTAATGAATCAGCTCTTATGTATTTTGTTTTCGAATGGAGAACATGTAGAAGTGAACAGTAAGAACTTCATCGTATTATGCCATCATCTTCTAATTGGAATCATAATTTCTTGCACATAAATTTATTTTTCTAAAGGATGGATTCAAACAAACCCTTAATATCACACTGACCAACTGTTTCAATACCTTATGCTACATAACCAATTTCACAAGTGAAACTAAACTGCAAACTTAGATCGAATTATAGAAACTAACTAAAAAATTAATGAAATTCTCAAACCTGACCACTAACTAGGGTTATAGACGGCAGCGCATTCTAAAGAGTAGGCAACTTGTTATCTTCTCCATTATCTCGAGTACAGTGCAAGTTCTCTGCGTTTACCAAAAATATCAAACTTTCCATTACGGTTCCTCACGACAACAACATTCCGGTAACACTAGAAGCTGAAGCATCTCCCACCATGTACTCACTATTAGAAAATGAATTTACATTAGAATTACATAGGAATGATTGCTATTGAATCGATAGCTTAAACCTTCGATTAAAGTAAGATAGCCAAATAATAATAAACCAATAATCGTCACTATGCTAATGGTGAGAGAAAAAAATAGAAAAGGGGGAAGAGAAAGGAGAACTTTAAGGTTGTGTGAAGGAAGCAGAGTGAAGAGGCAATGGAAGAGAGAGAAAATGTTAGAGATGAGAAATGGGTGCGTGAATAAGAGAGAAGAAATGGTTGCGTGAATGAGATATTTTTTATAAAATCAGCCTGCAGTTTGACCATTAAGCCCTCGAGAATTAGTAATGTAGTATTGAAGGGTAAAATGGGAAAGAGAATAATATCATCAATGACCGGTGAACGTTTTGTCTCACATGAAACCGTGATATGTGAGAGGAAATTCATGAATGAATAGTAAAGGTAGGATCCTCTCTTAAAAAGCGAGTAGAGATTTATGTAATCATGTATTGTTGAAGGAACTGACAGATCTAATGCTTGGTTCTCTGATGTTCAATGACTTGTTTATTATATAGAGTCCTCACTTCTGTTGGACTTAAAACCAGGTTGTCCGATGTAACATTGGTGCTCTTTTTTGAGATTAAAGGCGACCCATGTATATGAAATTTAATAATACTTTGTCATCAAAGCAATTGTGCACTTTGCTGTTGTCATTCTTTATTAACTTAATTTTAGTATTGAGAGGAAAAAAGTTGACGCCAGGAATTGGCTCAAGGGCATACAGGTTCTCATTAGATAATCTCTATTGTGAAAAGAGTAGATAGTTGCATTTGATAAAGATTGCAAATTGGGCGTGACGCTAATGTCTGCTTATCACTCAACCTTAATTTAACAGTTTATTAGTACATGGATATGCATCTCTGTGTGTGTGTGTGGCCTGCTCTATACTCTGTATCCAATACACTTTAAATGTCTCTCTAGCATTATCTGAATTAAAAGAAAAATACAAAACTAATTTAACCATTTTTTGCAGATCAAATTAACTTTTCTACTAGTTCAAGTAAACAGGTATTTTCTTTGAAACGTACTTTATTTGAATTGTTGTTTGGGATGCTATTCTTGCTCAAATAAGAAAATACCACATGGCACAGGATCTTAGTTGGAGAGAGCGGCTGGCATTGCAACATCTCAAATCTTTGTTCTCAAGAGAGGCAAGTTTTCAATGGACATTCTTGATGACAAAAACTATGCTATCTTTTTTGTGTGCTTGTTTACTTTACTCTTTTGAGCATATTTTAGGTAATGGACGTCATCAAGGCCAACACAGACGATTTAGGGCCCCTAAGTCTTGATTCTTTCAGAATGAATAACCTTTCTTCATCAGGGACCTTCGTTGGTCGAGAAATTTCAGCTGGAAAAAATACCACTTCTGCTCAGGTTAGGATAACTGGGGGATTGTAGCTTAAACTTCATGCTATTGCACTCTATTCATGACGAGAAACTATCTTATAAAAGGCAGGCACTGATTCATTAAGTTTTGCTTTTGTGATTTTAAGTCGAAAGAAGTAGTTGCAAATATTAAACGCAAAACCTCTGGAGGCAAGCAGGAAGATACTTTCCACGGTAATATTATTCTAGAAACTCTGTTAATACCATAAATAATTCGCTAGAGGATGAATCTTAACTGGTTAGATGACGCATTTGATCTTTGCAGAATATCATTCTAATTTTTTAAAGTCGCCTGCTAAACTGGCAAGAAGGGTAAGTACCCTGATTCATTCTAATTTATTGCTGCCACTTGTGTTGTTTTCCCGTTGCTTTCCAGTCGCATTTTTTATGACCAGGACCCAGTTCCTGATTGTAACTGAAAATAAATAAAATTGACATCTTACTCCAAATTTGCCTCGTTACTCCTTCCGTCCTGATCTTTGAGTAACAATTTTTTCCGTTCAAGCATTCTACAGCAATTGAGAGAAAAAAGACGTGAAAAGCGTGCTGCTGATTTGGTAAAGCAAGATGACGATGTAATCGTAGGACTTGAAACTGCGTCCATTGAATGTTCCAAGTCAGTTGACCCTGCAGTCTTGGTGTCACGGGCAGCAGCTTTACTTAAGCCCCGTGACGCTATCGCAGCCGCTGCACTTCGGTTGCACCTTGTAAATATTTCATTTAATTGTAAAATAGTTAGAAATTAAATAATTTTATCATGATTCATCGGCCAAAAGACGTCTATTGATGTCATTTGAGTTTTTGTTGCTAAGTTTATTATAGGGGGTATTAGTCTTTCAAACATCTTTCAA